CGTAAACTGGTTTAAACGGCCTACTTTTTGTAATGGACAATAACAGACTGTGTCCAACGCTGGTTGACTTATACGTGTGTGTGTGTGTGTGTGTGTGTTATAGTAGGTCAAGTAAGTACAGACAAGTGGCTCTTTAACTCAATAAACAACAACAAAAATGCGCAAACACACACACCAACCGACTCTCTATCTGTGTCTAATTCAGTACATTGCTTGGAGGAGAGGATCAGCTGTTATTATGGATGAAAGGATCTACATTGCATCTGTACTGCAGGGATCTTCCAAACTAAAAGTTTCCAGATAAAAGAGCCTCAACAGCCACAGGCATTTAAAGACCCATTACTAAAATCCCTCAGCACAACTGTGTACACGACCCACAGGCTCAATAAAACCTGAGCACATACAGTACATGCAAGCTTAAACAACGGAAACCATATGCTTTTTCATTACTAAATGTGTAGTTTCATTAGTTAGAGGCTTCCTCTCAGGCCAAACCTAGATGTCCTGGGTGTTTGAAGAAATCCTCAAAGTCCTTTTAAACTCATATACAAGTGTTTACTGTTCATTTTCAAGATGTGTGTGGAAAAATAGGAGAGGGAGAAATACATGGCCCTGGAGGGCTAGCAGGCACTGTTGGTCTTGTGCCATGACGGATAAATTTGAGGCTTTATAGAAGCGGTATTGATTGAACAAAGGCGCTACATGAGTGTGAGTGTGTGTGTGTGTGTGTGTGTGTGTGTGTGGGTGGGTGGTTCAGGTGTGCCCCTCCTGCCCTGTTAGATAGGCCGTGCTGAGGGTACAGGGCACTCGGCTGCCATGGTGACAACACTGACTTTGTACTCTTAAAAATAAATGTTCACAAAAGGGGTTTACGCAGTGATTTCGTAGAACAACCATTTTGGCTTTCACAAAGAACCTTTCAGTGAACAGAAAGCAGCATTTTTGCTTAGTGTAAAGAACATTTTAAGATTCTGAAAAGCCTTTTCCACTATAAAGAACATTTTGTGAAATGGAAAGGTTTTATGGATATGAAAGGTTCTTCAGGGAATTGCACAGTCATGCATCTTGAAAAATACAATTCTGCTGATTTGCAAAAAGGCCTTATATTACGTAACTGGATTACGCTGATTTTAAAAATATCAAAAGTTTTCAAATGACTTTCAAATCACACTTTTCATCAGATACAATTTTTTTGACAGATAAAAATTATTATCTGGTAAACACTTTATTTTAAGGACCAATTCTCACTATTACCTAGCATATTTTAGTACTTACAAAGCACATATTAATGCCTTATTCTGCATGCCCATATTTTATGCCCTTACTCCTACCCCATACCTAAACTTAACATCTACCTTAATAACTATTAATAAGCAGCAAATGATGAGTTTATTGAGGCTAAAGTTGTAGTTAATAGTTAGTTAATAGTGAAAATTGGACCTTAAAATAAAGTGTGACTGATTTTTTTTTTATTACATTTTTTAAATGCACTCATCAAAATAACAAAAGCAGTCAAATGTCAAAAAATATTTTGGTTTTAATGCGAAAAAATAAGTATTCAAAATGTATCATTTAACTTACAATCTTCAAAGGATTTAATTTTTTAACTACTCCATTTAATACCAAAGAACTTTACATAAACACAAGTTTATAAATAAATAAGCATGTTTGCATATTGTTCTTTCACTGGCCATAATTCTAACCTTGACATAAGGATTAGGCATAAAATAATGTCTTCAGAATCATTCATACATGTGAAAATCAGCTGAGAATTGAACAAATAGTTGTAACCTGGCTCAGAGGAAAATAGGAATCATGTCTTTGTGGTAGTTTTTCTTAAGATTCAGGCTTCTTCACCTTACAAATGGTTGTCAAAAGCACAAAAAAATGCTATGAAAAGCACATTTTTTGTGAGAAAGTGTGACATTTTTGGAATCAGCAACCCAAAATTAGTAAGAAAAAATACTGGATTTCATTCAACAAATGTAATGCAGGGCAGTGTTATAGATGCCAATAAAGAACCTTTTTTTTTTAAGAGTGTGTGCATCTCAAGAGTCTGTATGTTAAATATCTCTGCTTTATAACTTGGTCAATCTGTCAGGATGTTATATAATATTTTACTTGACTCCGATCAAGGCTTTGAAGAACCTCTCTGAATGTACATATGCTTATACCGACAATTCCCCCTGTGAAAAGGCAAAAGTTACATAACAAGAATTTGTCAAGCTCTACTTTTTAAACACGGCATCTCGATTTTATTTATGCCTTTGAAGTAGTCAAAACCCCAGAATTACTATATTCCTGAGTGAAATCATAGAATTTTTTTGTTCAGATTCAAATTTTTCTGGCCTTTAAAAACTCTCCTGATTAAGGTACATCAGCTTTACTGTTATTTGCACCATTAACTGTGGTATGGAGTTGTTTCTGGCTTATTGAACCCTTGAAGATGTTGTTACATAACAGTTTAAGTGGGAGTGGGTGCAATCAAATCGTCCTGCCATTATATCAGACCTTCAAGAGTGTCAAATGGATAGCAGAAGCACTCTTTGCATTAACCAGGCATGCATTACTGTGTGAGCGAGTGAGTGAGCTTACATCCAGGAAGAAAAAAGTGGTATAAAAATGACAGAAGTGTCATGCTATTACACGCTATAGTGTACATGGTAATGAGATAGTTGTGTGCTGCCATTTAAGACATTGATGGCTGTACAGTGTGCACTTAGAGAACCTCATCTGACAGGGAGAAGAAGAATATGTAAAAATATGATCAAATTAACTCATTTAAACATTTCAAAAAATAAAATTTAACCAACGGCTTGTGTCAAAGCAAAAACAAGCTAATTCTTTCCAGTGACAGAGCCCGTAATGAACCAGCTGCTGTTCAGGTCAGCACACGGGCTGATATTCCCCACATTCCCATATCACTGTTTACTCTCCTAACGGCTTCCAGGTCAGTGAACTGGACACTGAGATACATGCCCAGTCTGTGGCATATGAGGACCCATTTGCCAGGCTGTCTTAATATGAGAGCATCAGCATAATCCTGCAAGGTACACTGGAGAATCAAGGCTCTCGAGAGAATGTCGGAGCCGTGAGAGGATGCATAACCTTGATGTGAAGATATTAAAGTAGTCGATGGAGCAATTAAGAGATGCTGCTAACGATCTTCATCAAGGCTATTCAGCCTACTCGGAATAGTGAGGAATTTTCCAAACTGCTAAAGGGAGATTCCCCGCTGTCTCATAACTTGGCAGCTAATCCACCTTAGACCTTGCTGGAGTGCAACAAAGCATGTGCCTTATTGCCACTGTGTACTATAAAACTAAAAAAGAATATAGATAGCAATTTCATACTTAATTATCTCCTTATCTAACACATTGCTAAACTCCAATAGGCATTGGTCAAACTTAGGTACAAACTCTTTTGTTCCAGATCCTCGGAATTGTCTTCTTTGCTATTATCTTACCGTAGTGAATTCTATATCATCCATTCTTATTGATGCTTTAAATCAAAGCAGCACAGAGAAAGGCCACTAAAAACTTCCAGATTCCAGACTTTCTGAGTTACATTTCTGTCTTAGAACATAAAACGAGAAGGATTTTCCAGAGTAAGCCAAACTAACCAGGCTGTATTCCGTTGCATATAGTTGGATGACCAGTCTGAGGCCAGTTGCATGACCATTACGTTAAGATTGTGTCTTACTAGTCTGACCAGCTAGCAATTAGTCGAGGGGTAATCGGTCTTTCTTTTCTGATTGAAATTAGACCAATCTATGTTTTAAGTAACTGACATATAAAAGACATGTCCAGTCCTAAAGGAAAAAATTAGATGACTAACTTGACTTAGACTAACTTGTAAGACTAGTCTCAACCAGCCACTGGACAGTATGCCATTGCTCTATAAGGAAAGAGCACATCTAAATAGAACATCAAGAATATAATATGTAAAATATGCACTTTAACGTATGTGACTATGGTAAGACAGCACCTTCTGGAGAACCTGTGAATGCAAGATATTGCAGCATCCTACATCAGGTAAAGAATGAACAATGATGCTCGCCTGGCTCCATCATCATTCCCATCTTAAACATGCTCTCCACATTATGCCTCTGGAACAGCTGCTAAATAGATGTAATGGCAAGGACAACTGTCATATTCTGCCACTTTGAATAACCAAATTTGTAAGTTGCTCAGTTTTCATCTTCTTTGGAATTGGGGTCCTAACTAGAGACTCTAGTAATGAACATCTCAATGAAAAGCACTTCCTTTTTATGGCTCTTACTCATGAGCTGTTGTAATTATTGAGCGTAGCATATTACTTAGCATTTGGCTGATTTTGTCCATGCAGAATGTATAATAAAGATTTGTTGCATGCATGCCCATTTTGGATTGAATCCTACTCTTGCTATATATGTACAGTAAGTGCTAAGAGCTCCTGTTAACCATAAATAAATCCAGCTCTTAAATCAGCTCTTCTGATTCTGACTCAACCTGACTTTCCACTGGCAAATAGCACACCATTTGAACCTTATGATCAAAATGTCACTCTAACAGTGAGAGATGTGATTCATAAAATGACATGAATGTCTTGACCGCACAGAAAATGTTGTTCTGGCATGGTGTACTGTGGTATGCGAGGGTGTGTTTAGCTGATACTCGACCTAATTTGCGCGCGTCCAAGTCTGTGGTATCGCATCGCGGTTATTTGGCGACCCCTAGAGAGCGCTGCGCGAATAACTTCAACTCGATTCACAATCTTGTTAATTACAAGCCCCCTGGTTATTCATACAAACCAGTATCACTTAAAACGTTTCCTCGGGAATATTACCAACGCAAAGCTGTAATGTTTAAGTAAGACATCACATTCTAAACAAGTAAAGTGAAAACAGCATGACGCGCATCAACTTGCCACAAAACTCTTCACAGATGACAGGATTTTGGCAATGGGCGTTCAATGCATTCAGCCCTTAGCTGAGAGTTCTCAAAAGGGATATTTATTACCTGCGTGTGACACACCGTTTCAGCCACATTTTTCCAGACAACAATTCCGAATCAGTCCTCCTGGTATTCGTCCATTTATGCGTTCCAACAAAACGTCGACGCTCGAGCGTAATGGTCACCTTAAGTTGGACACTTTACTCCAAATGTTACGGATGCTAGCATTCTAATGTTATATATCCCGAGAAACAGAAAGCTTGAAATAGCTCCACGTCTCTCCAGAGCGCACCAAACGAGGACTGGGCGAAATATTCACGAAAAACAAGGACGCGTCTTGTCCCCTTTTTTAGTTGCTCGCTGTTTTTCTCCTCAGAAGTGCGCACGGATGTGCAGAGCGACCCAGCGGCAGCGTGGGCAGCTGGACGGTTCAGTTGCTTCTCAACAGCCGCCTTCTTTTACATTCACAAGTTCGTCTAGAATATACTCCACTGGAAAAGAAAAAGAAAAAAAGTCAAGAAGATATGGGAACCAGGCGGCAAGGTGACAGCGTCACCATCCCCCGTGCGCTGCGCTCGCGGTCACCGCGCACTTTCTCTACATTTGTCAGGAGACCGAGCGCAGGCAAAAACGCACGATAAAACATTGAGAGTTCCGTGGCGCAAAAGCATGTCCTACATCGGCTGAAGAAGCTCTTCGATAGTTCTCGCTATCTTTTCAGGGCTGAAATAAATTAGAGATGCGGGGGGGGGAAACCAAGAAGAGTGAAGGATGAAACGCCACTTCACGGACGCGCGTGATGAGTGGAGCACGTGAAAGCGACGTTCGTCATTAGGATAGATAGATAGTGTTATCACCACTGTGCGCGCTATCCACCCTCTCTCACATACTCTCTCTCCTTTCCTCCTCCGTCTGACTAACAACCTGCCAGTCCAGCTTTAGCTGACAAACCCGTGACGTCATTTTAAAGTAAAATATGTAACATTTTAGACATCCTTCCCCCGTTTCCCTCAGAGGAGTTCATCCGAACCCAATTCTTTCCCAATCTCTGCCGGCCTAGATAAATCAGTCTGCATATGGGCTATGAAAAGCTCAACCAGTGTACAGCACTTTCCACTAAGGGTGAGATCAGTTTCTCATCCCAAGGTTAATACAGTGTCTGGTGGGTTTACTAAAGCAATAGAGCCACATCCTACAAATTGCATGAGAGCGTAATGACACATTTTTCTTCCTTGTGAAACACAGAAACTCTTTTTTGTTGTTAAGATGATTGATCTTCCACTCCAATTTACCATATAGGAAGAAGAAAGAGACAGTGGCGTTGAATAATGTTGAAATCCTTTTTATTTCACAGGAATGGCTGAAAATGAATAAAAACTCGGCCTGTGGACTGTCAGGCAGCAGCAGGAAAGCTCATTAAGCCGGTGCGTTTGAGAGAAGGGCTTTGTGAAAACAGCTCTGATGAAGAAAATACATTCATGAAAACCGCTAGCGTGTGTCGAGGTTATGAAGTGTCACATTTTGCCTTCATTGTGGGGACCAAACAGTCCCCACAAGGATAGTCAAACCTAACTCACAAATTGTGGTGACCAGCTAACGGTCCCCACGAGAAAACAGCTTAATAAACACAATAAATAATGTCTTCATAAAAATCTAAAAATACACAAAGGTTTGCACAAGGGTTATGCCTAAGGCTACGGGGAAGAAAGTATCATTGGCTCACTACACAAACAATAGAAAAACATCAACATAATAGCAGGCTTATATGTATATCCCTTTCTAAAGCAGATAAGCAGAGTTTAAAAGACGTATTTTCTGAACGCGAGGTATGGAAGGTTTACAACATCTGTGATCATCTAGGAAAGCTGTTTTAAATTGTGCCAGTATAAATGGGGTGTGTGTGGAAATAGAAAATGAAGAGAAAAATAAGCGTCATTAAAGAGCAGTACGGCATATCAAATCCAGCCTTAACAGCAAATGTTCAGCAGATTCCAGCAGCTCGGCATTTTATCGCCATTACTGGAAATGCATTTTGGAGAAGCTACATTCCTTAGCATCTGTAAAGAGGTCATTTACACTACCTTATGTGTGCACTTAGAGATCTTAAACCTGATATATTGAGGTGAAGGATAAATATGTTGTATAATCTGTAAAATCAATGCATTTAACCATATACTGCATGTAATTACATTGTATAACACTTTTATGTGTTCAATTCATGCTGAAAAAGAAACAAAATCACACAAATTGAGAATCTTTATTCTGTGTGTGGAAGGCTATCAGACCTAAAGTCATTTCACTTGCTGTAAAACATGAAATCCTAGGAGTTCTTAGAAAACAGTTGCGCAGTTTTGCTGAGTGAGTTATTCATAACGTTCTGTATGTATCAGGCTGGGTATTTACTCACACAGGATTACTGTGTAATCCTTACACTGATGATTTAAGCCTCCAATGTAAAGACCCTTAAATGCTGACTCAAAATTCAATTTTGTCAACGACATCGACCACAGCCATTCCAGGTTCAATAACAATTTGGACACTTTGCTAACCTGCAATAATTAGATAACTGTAATTAGTTAAACTTGTCAAGAAACTGAGGTCTTATCTGTCTTGCTTTAATTGAGCTATTACTCCAGCTTCAGACAATTGTATAATCATATGCAAATAAAGGGGAGTTCAGAGTGTACTGCACTCATTTAGCTGCTTCAGATTTGAAAGGCTGAGGGTCAAGACCAAGGGTTAGTCTGAGTTAGTGTATATTGTCAGGGAGGTTAAAGGTGAGGGCATGGGGATTCTTTGTCATGAATTTTAAGCACAGGTTATGCTAATGAATAAAAGTTTAGTGGATTCTTTCATTTTAAACCTTGTCTGTGTCAAAGCAGTTGCAGATTTTTCAGCTTTAGAAGTTTTAGGATGATTAGATTTTTCAAAACAGGCCTAGAAAGAGATTGTAGACATTGAATCACTGTTCTCCACACTGTCCATGGGAGCCCAATGTGATTTACACAAGTAAGACATGTTGATGGGATTAACATCCTATCAATCAAATCTCTTACCCTAGTCGGGCCGCCCACAATACATACGCTGACCGCCTGAGGCATATTGCAAAACAGGCAAGTCAATCTGATTCTATGCTTCTATGCAATTTTCAATAGTCGGTGCACTAGTCCATCTGGAAATAAAGTTGAGGAAGGTACAGGGTTGATTCAATGAGCGCTTTGTTGTTCATGTGGGCTAGACAAAACTAGCCTGCAGGTGTGTCTTGGCCAGAATAATCTGCAAGGTTGTTTATCCATGTCCTAATTGTGTAAAGCATGTTAAGCATCCACAGAACATCATCTTCACCCAAAATCAAACAGCTATTCTATATTCTCATTGGTCAGTCTCAATGTTTTCACCTCAGTACCACCAACCTATCTGACCCTATGCCCCATAATCCTAAATCATCATTCACTCTGACCAAAAAGCCAAAACTGACTTAATTCAGAATCATAAATGCACTGCTTATACTCTCAATGTCTCAAATAACTCTCAAATACTCCCATACATATCCTACTTTAAAACTCACCCCATCCAGAAAGTCTGTTTTTGAAAGAAGTCTCTAATGCTTGTCAGGGCTGAATTTATTTGATTAAAAATACAGTAAAAACAGTAATATTGTGAAATAGCTTTAGAATTTAAAATAACTGATTTCTATTTTAATATATTTGATGGCAAAACTGAATTTAGGGAGCCATGACGCCAGTCTTCAGTATCACATGATCCTTCAGATAAAATTCTAATATGCAGATTTGGCCAGACCTCAGTTCCCCAACTGTCACTTCATTAATGAGATACTCAATACATCAAGGCATGCTTAGATTTTGAGGGGTTAATCAATGCTCTATATTTAGAACTGTAAAACTACATGATGATTTATTGATCCTTCCCCTGAACCCGCACAGTGTAAATTATTAGAGGAACACCTTGAAACCAACATAATATTTGGCCAAGGTCAAATCAGCAACATGACAATCCGTTTTTCAAAAGGTATAGGAGTAAGAATCTCAAGTAGAACACTTATAATTCAAGTCCCTGGTCATTCCTCTTTATTGAATACATGAGCTGTATTTCTTTAACATTTCATTAGCTAACAATTGTTTCATTCATACAACAGAGCAGTGGGCTTTGGATATTTCAAGGAATGCTCTGCTTTATGTGCTCAATATTCAGAGCTGTTAATAACCCCTGAAAGGTGGAATAATTGCAAATCACTTTGAACACAACATGAGACACAAATAGCTGCCACAACAATAAGACAGTGACCATGACAACCGGACTGAAGAGAGGACATCTCCTCTATCTGATAGTGAAACATTGGAGATGAGAGAAACAAGAGGGCCTATTTGAGCACAATGAGCTGTGAGACCAAGATAGTTAACAGGACAATGGGTCCCCGAAAGGGCATATTTGCTCGTTTTAATCATTACTCTGCCAGTCCATAAAACTCTTTGAAGAGACATTTTAGGTTTGATAGATCAGCCTCCAGAATGTACCAGAATGTTCCCAATGATGATGCCGGAGAAGATACAAGAAGGGATCCCTTGTGAAAAAGATGTACACTTTAGCATGCTTTTAAAAAGAGTACTTATTACAGAAACAATATACTTTAAAAGAGTACTTGCTGAATGTAATACATTCAGTCTCTTAATTGCATGTTATTTACAATTAAATGAAAATGTATTATATTTTATTAGTTACAATTTATATTCAATGTAATTAGTTGAACATAAGAGTGCTTATTTGACCTACTTTTTTATTATTTATGTAATGTCATAATTCTGCTGTCTTTGAAATATGGTTCAAATTTACTGTTGAAGGTATGCAAGAACTTATGGTAAACTACATACTTTAATGTCATTATTGAAAGTTGTATGATGTTGTTGCAATTTAGTAAATTTAAAATATATTAGCTAATATCAAGTACATGTGCTTTAGTATGTTAGTCAGCATATCTAAAAGAGTGTAGTTCTTTAAAGCACGACAGAAGATTACTAAAACATTTAACATTTTAATTAAACATTATTATAGAGTGCACTTTTTAAGTGTACATAAGTGTGTTAAGAAATTGTCATGGAAAATGTACTCTATTTGCGTGGCCTTTTATTTCAAATAAAAATATTTTATTTGCAAGTATTATTAAAAACTGTACTTTTAAGATTTTATGTACTCTACAAGTGTGCAATAAGTGGACTTCTTTTTCACAAGGGATAGTTCACATAATTATGAAAATGTAGTCATTATTTATTCACCTTCACATCATTCTAAACCTGTAGGACTTTCTTTTTTCACAAAAGAAGATATTCTGAATAATGTTCTTTTGTCCATACAATGAAAGTCAATGGGGTCCAAAACAACACTGGACCCTCACTGATAGACAAAAATGCAATATTTTGTGTTCCACCAAAGAAAGTAAGCAAACAACATGGATAAATAATGAATTTTCATTTTTGAGTGAACCGTCCCTTAAATAGGTCTATATCTTTTCAGAAACACTTCTTTTCCACAGCACCTTGAATCTATGAAAACGGTGACTAAAGAAAACATGAAAAAATATCAGTATGCACACCAATAGAGTAGTCTTGAATAGGAACTTGAGCAACAGATGGTATTATTTAATACACATCAGAGAATCCATTTTCTATTTCAGGTGTTCATGGTGAAGAAAACCGAGTGAAAATGTGCTTTTTGAAATGTTTTAGAGTCTCAGCAGCTTTAACTCAAAGTAAGCTCATTTTACATCAGTCATTCTGTGAACAGTGAGGCTTTCAGTTCAACAGTCACTTATCAAC